GAAAGACTTCTCTGACACAAAGAACCGGTGAGCTCTCCAAGGAATTAAGACTACCATCCTCGCTTAAATTTATTATCCTCAATTTGTTGCCTTACAGCTAAATACAAATGTATCTGAAACAGCCAAAATGCCTTCTTAAAATTCCATTCTGGCTGCCTTTTAAGAAAAGCTTGTCCATTAATTATATATCAGCAAATCAGGGACAAAGGCTATTTAGCATTTTTAGATAGACCCAGTAGAAATAGCATTCTGTTGGTCTAATTAAAACTTTACTTCAGAACAACCCCTAACTTTTAATTGGATCTTAATACATATTCGCTGCTAGGCATCAATAACAACAGGGGCTCCGTTGATGACTTTATAAGCACCACATAATTATTTCTTCCAGTGCCAAAGTAAACCCTAAGTAGTGCTGCATTTGTGATTTTTATGATATATCAAATTTAAATGTGAAACAGTAAAATTTTACAGATAAAATCATTAGCTGGAAAGGACTCATTTACATAAGGATCAAATGTCTACACAAATATAAAAATTGAATTAGCATTTAAAACCTCCAGACTTGGTTCTCTGGAAGTAAAGGCACTATTAAAAGGGAGAATTGAAAGATTTCTCCATAGTTCTCTACCAATAAGGATAGGGCTGTTTTGAAAAACAAATTTAACAATCTATTTAAAAGGTTATAATTAACAAATAACTATGTAATTCAAGATTTTCTTATTTGGGTCTGCAAAGTCACCTCTATTTCGTTAAAATAAGTGATTCTTTAATTCAGGATATGATATAGTAAATTTGCTATAACTAGTGGTATAATATCTCTTTCCAATTGCTTTTAGCTTCAATATGCCTTTACCATAAATAAACAGATTTAAATTAATATGGCTTGGCTTTTGTCTAGGAGTATGATCAGAGGTGAATGAAATGAAGTCTTATTTCAATCAGATGATTACTTAATTTGCTTGACTCTTTAGTAGTTTCAGTTTCCATCGTTTTTTGTTCAGACATAAAACCTTATGATAAAACTACTTTAAAGTGACAAAAGGAGATTAACAAAAATGATCACTCTTTTTGCATTGCTTCTATGGCTGTTAACTGTAAGCATCTTTTGCATCAAATAACATTTCGAATATGTGAACAACAGGCGATTCTTTTAAGACTTACCCTGTGGACAAAGGCTTTCTTTTGGCAAGTCACCAATGGTTATTAAGTCTACAGTTATACAAGAACTCAGACTCAATTGCTGACCGGCCAAATCCTTGAACTTTACCTAGAATAATAACAATCTTAAAATTACTTGTTTATATAATGTAAAGAAAACTGTTAGCTCTCTCCTAGTCTTTTACTGCTCAGGAAAATCCCAGTAGATTTCTAAAAATATTCTTTGATAATGTCTATACTTTCATCCAAGAGCTGGACCCCTCGAAATAAGAAACAGTGTAGATAATACACTCAACTGGTTTCTGATCAAATTTCTATGTCTAAAATTGTAGAAATCTCAACTATTACGTTCTAATTCGTCTTTATGAAGAAAATTCTCCCAAAGCAGGTCACCTTATTCAACTACATTTCAGAGAAGATAACAGTAAAAGTAAAAACTATGAATCTGACTTTTCTGGCATTAGTTTGAAACCCTTAAGCCACAAATAATTTTAATTAGCTTATTTCTAATTATCTATTAATGACAGAAACAATTTTCTGTGAAATAAGAATGTAGAGGGGAAACCAGTTAATTTTTCTATGTTTATGTATCTTTACGAACGGTCTATGTTACAGATAAAGTTAACTGAATAAGGGTAAATATGCTGAAATTGTTGACAATTGTTAAATGAGAATATTTCTAAAATCTGAACTTTTTCTTGGGAAAGCAGTTCAGAATTATAGTCTATTTAATGAGGTGGCCATCTGGTGACAGAAAAGAGCACTACAGACAATATTTTGCATTAACTGAACATCACTATTCTACACAAACCGACTGAACCGCATAAAAGAGAGCAACACTGTCCAAAAGAAACATAATTCAAGTCATACATGCAATTAAAAATTTTTCTAACAGCCTCATTTTCAAAATAGAAACAATAATTTTAACAATATTTTTTATTTAACCCAAAGTATCAAAAATATTTCAACATATAATCAATATGAAGATTAATAACGAGTTTTTTTTTTTTTTTTCATACTAAGCCTTCAAAATACAATGCGTACCTTACAGCACATGTCAATTTGGACTAGCCACATTTCAAGCGATCGTGGGCCAGTCTGTGGTTAGCGGCTTATCCTACTGGACAGCGCAGATCTAGAGAACGACATGAGACCTGCGGTTGCTTTGGTTTGCCTTTTACTAAGTTCATTTCTCAGCCTCTCTGCCCACTCTGAAAAGTCTCCCCTTTCCCCCCTTTTAATTCTACTTTATTTTGTAAATAACTGTTGTCTCCTGAACATTTTGGAATGCTTAAAAGGCACTCAAAAGCCTGTCCGAGAAAGACGAGAAGACCCTTGGAAGGTCCCTCTCTCCTCCGGACCGCACTGGGCGTTCGTTTGCCGGCGCCGTCCTTCCACGCGGCTCGCCGGGCGCACAGCGGCTTCCGGCTGCGGTCAGCCACCTTTGGCCGCGGGAAGGATGCCGCGCTGGGGGTCTGGGCTCGTCTCGGCTGTCACGCCACCTTGTGACATCACAGCGCCACGCCCTCGGGGCTCAAGGTCAGAGAGGCTCCGGGTTTCCAGGACCCGAGAGTCAAAGATATTCAGTGAGAGAGAGCGAGACTGGAGGACGCAAGGAATAGGTCTGCGCCACCTTGCCCATAACGCGTTGCTTTCAGTCACGTTCCGCGAACTGGCGAAAACGCGTGAAAACATAAGCGCAGTTACAGAGAAGCCTGCGAGGGAGAGGCTCCAGCTGTTTCCCCTGGAGCCCGAGCGGGGGGTCTTCCGGTTGGACCCCTGCTTCCGCTGATTGGTTGGAGGCCGCCACCACGTGATGCAGACCCGGGTCAGCCTCCGCTTTCCCCGCCCCTTTTATCCCCCTCCCCACCCGGAGGTCGCCGGAGGTGGAGAGCCGGTTACCGAGGCAACCGCCACAGGCAGTCTGTACACACCAGGCCTGGGGCGGGAGAGGGTTTCCTGCCTGCTGCTGCAAGACAGGGATTGGGAAGTCAGAGTGGACTCTGACTTGAATCGGATTGCCCTGGAATCCATCCTCTCTCTTGATAAGGTCAGAATCCGTCACCTGGTGGCCTTCGGGCGTACATCAACTGTAAGCAGGGCCCCGGGAGTCTTTGATCCCCTCTTTTTCCTTCCAAGCCATACCAAGAGGAAGACGCCAGTGAAGCAAAGTTGAGGTCAAGGGAACTCCGTAATGGTGCAATGGTGATGATAATGGTGAAAGACAGTGAGGTGGCTTTATTGAGGCAGTCAGGGTACCAGAACAAAGTTCAAGAGAAGGAAAGGGAGGGTGGCCTACAGCCAGCTATGCAGCCTTTACTGCACCAGTTAAGGTTCTGGGCTGGGAGAACCAAATGCTCCCTGACCAAACCTGACACTGCTCGTCTAGAGAGTGTAGGGGGTTTATTTGGACAGTCAGTGATAACTGATGGATTCTGATCCTTTTATACCCAAACGAGGAAATAATTTGACCCATACAGGACTTCTACTGGGCAGAAAAAAAAAATGAGGTTTCTCAGAATAACACCCTAACCAACGCTCATGGCAGACAGAAACATGGTCCTTTATACTCTATCATTGTACTCTGGTCATGGAGAGCAATTATGTCTTTAAATTATACCATATGCCTGTGGCATGACAATTAACCCATTAAACAATTTTTTTTTAACACCTAGCATGTGCCAGGCAGTGAAGTTGTGATAGGTTCATAGTTTCTGCCCTGAATGAACATGTAACCTAGTAGGGAAGAAAGGCCCGTAAACACTGCTTTACAGTGTGACAAGTGCTATACGTAGAGTATGTGCAAGCCTTAACCAGAATCACAAGAAAGAGAATGCTTATAATACTACCAGAGAGAATGAAAGTCTTCAGAGAGAAGAGTGTTGATTTAAATCTTTAGGGAAGTATGGAGTATGCCATACAGCCAAGGGAAAAGGACATTTTAGGGAGAGGAAACAGCCCATGCCAAAGTACAGAAACATCCCGTTCAGTTCCAGAGAACGATAGTTGTGGCCTGAACCTAGGGTCCTCTGTGGAGGCTGTGGTTGATGAGCATGTGAGGTAGGCAGGAGTCAGAGCATGGAAACCATGAATAGCTTCCAAAGGGGTAAAGCATGAGCAGATTTACCATTCAGGAGGCTGTCACAGTAGTGCAGAGGATGGACTTGAGGGAAGACAGACTACAGGGAGGACATCCAGTTAAGGTGAGGTAATGAGGGCCTGAACCAAGACAGAAGCAGTTGGAATGAGGAGAAGGAAAAAAATGTGGTCAGACTTTTAAGAGGTATGTGCAGAAGGATTTAATGAGTGAATGAACCTAGCGGGATAGAGTCAAAGATTGGTTGAGGATAATAGCTCAACCAATAGAAGAATGGTGGTGTTATTTTTCAAGAGAAGGCATACATTAGGAGAAGGAGGCTGGTTGGAAAATATAATGAGTTCAGTTTTGAACACAGTAACACACTGAATTTGAGATGCCTTTGGCACGTTCAGATGGAGCTTTTTCATGTGGGCAGTTGGATTTTTTTTCTTTTTTTTTGCACAGAAAAGAAGGATTTTTCACCATGAAGAAAATAATTGGTTTGAAAAGCACAAAGTAGGCTGGGTGCAGTGGCTCACACCTGTGATCCCAGCACTTTGGGAAGCCGAGGCGGGTGGATCACTAGGTCAGGAGTTCGAGATTAGCCTGGCCAATATGGTGAAACCCCGTCTCTACTAAAAATACAAAAATTAGCCAGGCGTGGTGGCACGCGCCTGTAGTCCCAGCCACTTGGGAGGCTGAGGCAGAAGAATCACTTGAACTCGGGAGGCAGAGGTTGGATTGAGCCAAGATTGTGCCACTGCACTCCAGCCTAGGCGACAGAGTGAGACTCCATCTCAAAAACAAAAGGGGAAAAGAAAAGCACAAAGTAGCTTTGAAATAACAAGTAGAGAGAAGCCAAGGAGAAAAGTTGAACCAAAGAAGAAAACTTAAAGGAGAGAGTCATCAGCATTGTCATATGCCATGTCAGGGTCAAGTTGAGAACTGAAACATGTCCACTGTCTTTGGCAATTAGAAGGTTATTGTTGACCTTGGTGAAAACGTGCTGTAGTGTCTTGAGGTGTCCTCAGTCTAGACGGCAGTGAATACAGGACTGAATGCAGGTAGTGACGTGTTGCTAATGATTATCTAAAAGGTTTACCATAAAGGTATCTAAAAACAGCTATTTATAGAAGAACATAGGAGAGACTTTTTAATATAGGAAAGACCTAATATTTATATACAGAAATAAAAGAGATCCTTGAGAAGGAAATTTGGGAATAAATGAAAGAGGAAAATTTGACAGCAGTATTCTGAAAGAGACAGATAAGGACAGGATCAATACATAGGAAAAGGGATTTGTTTTGGACAAAAGGAAGAACACCTACTAAGACAGGAGTCAGAAGGAAAAGAAAAATACATGTTTGAGGGGAAGGAAATAAGAAACACACATTTGATGGCACCACTGTTCTCTATGAAAATGGGGTCAAGATCATCTATTGAGACAGAGAGAAAGACCTTGAAAAGAGTGGTGAAAGTTTAGAATAGTCAGTAGTGTCATGAATCTCAAGTCACTAGTCCCACTCTCCTAGGAGAGGAAAATATAAAACACTTGTTGCTGAAGATCTAACTGAAGTTAGAGGTCATACATTTGTAGTGACTTCAACTCCATGCTGGTTAGGTGAAATTTTCCAGCAGCAATTCAAAGTGGAAAGATTAATCCAAGACATGCAGTTTGAGGTGTAAAAGCTATAGAAGTTCCTGGTGGCTTCTGGTTTTGTGGGGGAACCAGAGAAGACCTTTAGCCTCTTAAATGGGCCGGCCCTGAAAGAGCTTCAAAGAGCAGGAGAGTGGTTACAAGCTGGCCAACAGGACATTCACCTCTTGATGAATTCAGTAACTTCATCTGGAACCCTTGAGTCCATTTGTGACTGGAGAAAGCATACAAGACTTGTAAGTACCAGGAAGGTCTAGCATCTTTGTAATTCAGAAATAGTTATGCAACTTATAGAATTTGGGGTTTTATAATTAAATTGTATTTTTCTAATTAGCTGTTGAATTAGAATAAGATTTTCTGCTAAATAAGGGCATTGATGAAGAGAAAATAAGTTGAAGTGAGAGGTAAGATTTGTATCCCAAATGGGCATATGTTTCTTCCAAGGAAAAGTAGTCTCCTTAAATAAATGGAGAGCTATACCTTGTTCTTGAGGATTACTCAAAACTGTAATATGGAAGTTCTCCCTAATTAATCTTTACAATGCAACCTCAATCAAAATCCCAACAGAATTTTTAAAAACTAAATACAAAATAATCATATATTTTATTTGGAAAAAAACATGGGAGAATATCCAGGAAACTGCCAAAAAAAAACATGAGGTGGGAATTTTCAATATAAATCACAGTAATTAAAACAGATATGGCAGGGTGTGGTGGCTCACGCCTCCCAGCACTTTAGGAAGCCGAGGTGGGCGGATCACGAGGTCAGGAGATGGAGACCATCCTGGCTAATACTGTGAAACCCCGACTCTACTAAAAATACAAAAAAAAAATTAGCTGGGCGTGGTGGCGGGCACCTGTAGTCCCAGCTACTCTGGAGGCTGAGGCAGGAGAATGGCGTGAACCTGGAGGTGAAGCTAAGGGTGAACCGTGATTGCGCCACTGCACTCCAGTTTGGGCGACAGAGCAAGACTCCATCTTAAAAAACAAACAAACAAACAAACAAAAACAGATACTGGTGCAGGAATAGACAGAGCTAAGGAAAAACACAGATTAGAAAGTCCAAAATTAGGTCCTAGTGTATGTGATCATTTTGAATATAACAAAGAGAATGATTTAATTCCTTCTACAATAGATATCTTGGACAAAGGCAAGATAACTTAGAACACCATTTGGTGAATTTGGAGCGTTGAAGGGAAGCCTTTGTCCTTTGTGTCGTGGTGGGCAGCTAGGCTATCCTTTGGTAATCACAGACTTTAATCCAGTATAAAAGGGTTTCTCTTCCCATGAGTAGAGGTGCTGCAAAACACTTTTTTAACTTGGTGCACCATTCAGATAAATCTGGAGAGATAAGACTGTGGCCTGCATCTATGTGTGGGCCTTTGATGGAGCTTCCAAATTCTTTCAGGTTGCTTTCTTGACTGGCTTCTCTCGCAGCCTATGGTGTAATATCCTGAGGTTGTCTAAGAATGGAATAAAGACACAATTGCCAATAGAAAGCAGGGAAGGAATGCACAGCATTTCCTTCAGTATAGACCCATCATCTGACCACTGTCACCACTGCCACTACCACCACCCTATTCCAATCACCATCCTCTCCCACTTATATTATTACAACTGCCCATTAACTAGTCTCCCTGCTTTTGCTCCAAACCCTACAATCTATTTTAAACATAGTAGCCAGAGTGATCTTTTTAATACTTATGACAGTTCATGTTACTCTTCCACTCAAAATCCCCATATAGCTTTTCATCTTACCATAATAAAATCCAAAATCCTCATAAAGGTCTACAAGATAGCACATGATTTGACCCTGAAATAACTCTTTGACCTCACACCCTACCATTATTTATTTCTCTCAATGTACTCCAGACACATAATTTTCCTTGCTATTCTGCAAATATGCCACGTATACTCTCTCACTGCCCCTCGCCCCAACTTTTTTTTTTTTTTTCATTTGCTGTTTCCTTCGCCTGTATGCATTTTCTCTACATTCCCGCATGGCTCACACTCACACTCCCTTATATCCTTCATTTCTTTGCCCAGATTCCACATTATCATCTGATAAGGTCTTGATCTTCTCTTTCCTCCCACCCCTGTCATTCTCTGTCTGGGGTTCTGTCTTATGCCTTCAATATGAATATTAACAATGAGTGAATGAATGAACAGAGTCCAATGTATTAGGATAATTTACTGACTGTGTTTTTCTTTGTGGTGCTAGCTGGGGTCCCGTCCCTCCTTCTTGACTCAGTGTCTTAGTCTATTTTGTGCTGCTATAATAAAATACCTGAAACTGAGCAATTTAAAAACAACACAAATTTATTTCTCACAATTCTAGAGGCTAGAAAGTCCAGTATCAAGGCATTAGCATCTGGTGTCTGCTTCCAAGATGATGTCTTGAAGTCTACCTCTTCTGGAGGGAAGGAACAGTATGTACTCACAGGGCCAAGTCAGAAGGGCAAAAAAGGGATGAACTTTCTCCATCAAGCCCTTTAAATGGGCAGCTAATGGGCACCTAATGCCATTTGGAAGGGGAGGAACCCTCATGACCAAATTACCTCTTAAGGGCCCACCTCTTAATACTATCATATTGGCAACACCTGAAGTTTGAAGGGGACACATTTAAACCATAGCATTCAGCATGGTAGGGCAATGTCCTCAATTTACAAAGCATGAGTACAAATACAGACTGTGTGCAATTTTCTGGTACGTTTCTCAAACTCCTTTGATTTGGTCCCTTATATATAATACACAGCTACCCCTTTCCCAACCACTTCTGCTCTCAATTTGAAGATTTTTAAGAATCGTTTTGTGAAACTTCTTTCCCTGGTACCTTAAATTTTGGTCTGTAATATGGTTTGGCTGTGCCCCCACCCAAAATTTCATCTTGAATTGTAATAATCCCCACATTTCAAGGGTGAGACTAGGGAGAGATAATTGAATCATGGGGGCACTTTCCCCCATGTTTTCTTGTGACAGTGAATTCTCACAAGATCTCATGGTTCTACAAGGGGCTTCCCCCTTCACTCAGCTCTCATCCCGCCTCTTGCTGCCTTGGGAAGAAGGATGGTTTGCTTCCCCTTCTGCCATAATTATAAGTTTCCTGAGACCTCCCCAGCCATGTGAAACTGTGGGTCAATTAAAGCTCTTTCCTTTATAAATTACCCAGCCTTGGGCATGTCTTTATTAGCAGTGTGAGAACAGACTCTGGTTTGTGTTGATGGGCTTTTTTTCTCAATCTGATGTTGTCTCTGTCATTTTTAAAGACCTTTCTCAATATTTCTGGCAATCATTGCTCTTTTTGTAGCACTGCTATATTCTTTTCTTGTTTTCGTATTTCTGTAGTCATTCTAGTGGGATTTGGGGAGGGAAGATAGGTCAATACACGGACTGAAATCATCATCTTTTTTTCTTAACATTTTAATTTATGTATATGCCAGCACATGTACATAATTTTGCATAAATGAATATAAATGAGCATATAAATGCCTTTAAAATCAAAATTTAGGTAGAATTTCATTAAAGTATAACATACATACAGAAATCACACACATCTTAGGTATCTAACTTTATTTTCAAATTGAACATAACCAGCACCTAGATCAAAAAATACATCATTATGAGCACTCTAGAAGCCCCTCTTTTGCCTCCTCTTAGTTGCTCTTCCCTGAAAGGTAGCCAATATCCTAACTTCTAATACTATAGTTTGTTTATCTTACATGAATTGAGTCATACAGTATTACTCATTGCGTGTCTCTTGTTCAGCATTTGTTTATGTGAAACTCACTCGTTGCAAATAACAATAGTTGTTTGTTTCTCATTCCACTTTTAGGTAGAAATCCCAAAGAAATTTGTAGCTATGACCTGTATGACAAAATGTTCAGAGAAGCACTATTTAACCCCCAACTGGAAACAGTCCAAATGTGTACCCATGGTAGAAATAATAAATGTCTATACACTCAAACTAGGCAATTCTAAACATGCTTTTTAAAAAGTATAATTTCTTCTTTTCCATTTTTGCCTGGATCTATCCCCATCCAGCTTTACATTTATATTCTAGTCACAACAACTTTCACCTGCATCTAAGGAAACTCATATTAACAACTTAGTATATATCTTTCCATATTTTCTCCTGACAATAATTATACACATACATGCATTTACATATATACACACATGCCTATGGGGGAGTTGCTATTGTAAAGAAAGGGGTTAACTGTATACCATTTTCTACATCTCTCCTTGTCAGGTCATTATATTAAAAGCAGGATTCTTATATTTTTTAGATAGTATATATCTGGAATAATATTCAGAAAATATTACAAATTATGAAAGTTGGATTAAGTTTTATTGAAGCTACTTGAGTATTAATTGGTTCATATTCTCTAGAATGAAGGAGAAGTTGTAGTATTTATTTAAATAAACATTTATTACTATGCCAAATATGTTGCTAAGCCCTAAGGATTCTTCTCTTTGCAGTCTAAGTATATTTAGAGAACTGTGTTCACTTTTAGACACGCAGTGTAATACAAAGGACAACCAGAGCCTGTTCAAATGAGAGAAACATGAGTATATAGTGAGAGAACTAACAACTTCAACTGTTAGTAAGGTAAGAGTGTAGATGAGAGATGACCATTTTCTTCAAGTATTGAAGGCTCATCGTGTGGAAAAAAATTTATACCAAGGGGTTTGACAACAAAAGGGAAGGAATTATGGAAAGAGAGATTTAAAATTAAAATAAAAAATAACATCCTAACAGAAAACCCCCTCAGAGTTTATACAGATACTTGGTAATGTACTATGTGAAGATTTCAAACTACAGTTGGGTGGTTCAACCTTAGTAGCGTTAAGGTCTATTTCAACTTTGAATGACAATGACTTTAATATTTATTTCATTTTTTCATTTTCCTTAACAGTTATAATGTTATGATCACTGTTTTTAACGGAAGATGATTGAAAGTGAAAACCTAAACCAAGAAGAAATAATTAAAGAACTGGTGAGTCAAAGTCAAATTTCTTTTTATAACATTTGCAGCAATAGAAAATGGAAAGTTTTTATGCTCCTTTCTAGAGCTGGAAGGGTTACTTAGTGATTTCCTCTACCTAGTGACTTTTGGAAGCAGAGAATAATCATATATGTGATATAACTTTCTCTCGTGAGATTACAAAAATGGCATCAGTGCAATTGACAATTTATAATTTCTAATGGTAAAAGTAATCTTTTGATTATATAAAATAGGTAATGACCAAATTTCTTTCCTTTAAAACAGTGTTTGTGCAATGGCTTATCTTATGAGATGGTTGGACAAGAAGGATCAGATACATCAAAGTTGGAGATGTTTTTCTTAGGGTATCCTCGTATAGTCGGATTATCATTATTTCCTAATTTAACTAGTCTTACCATTGTTGCTCAAGATATAAAAGAAATTTCAGGGTTAGAGCCTTGTTTACAACTTAAAGAACTTTGGATTGCTGAGTGCTGCATAGAGGTAAGTGTAAACATAAAACCTTACACAGAATATTTTATTCCGAATTCTTTGGCTTTAGAAAAATAATTCATTGAAATATATGCATAAGGCATGGGTTAAGACAGATAAATGAGCAAAGGATAGAAATTGATTTGTACAAAGGAAAAAATAAAAACGAGGAATTAAAACATAAACGTATTCTCCTTTTTAGTAATCAAAGCAAATCAAATCAAAACAGCAAGTTACTGGTACAAAACAGACACATAGACCAATGGAACAGAATAAAGAACCCAGAAATAAGACCACAAACTATCTGATCTTTGACAAAGATGACAAAAACAAGCAATGAGGAAAGGATCATCTATTCAATATATGGTGCTGGGATAACTGGATAGCCATATACAGAAGATTGAAACTGTACCTCTTCCTTATACCATATACAAAATTAAACTCAAGATGCATTAAGGACTTAAATGTAAAACCCAATATAAAAATGCTGGAACACCACCTAGGCAATATCATTCTGGACATAAGAACAGGCAAAGATTTCATGACGTTGACACCAAAAGCAATTGCAACAAAAGCAAAAATGGACAAATGGGATCTAATTAAACTAAAGAGCTTCTGCAGAGCAAAAGAAACTATCAACAGAGTAAACAGACAATCTACAGAACGGGAGAAAATTTTTGCAAACTGTGCCTCTGACAAAGGTCTAATACCCAGCCTCTACAAGGAACCTAAACAAATTTACAAGAAAAAAACAAACAACCCCATTAAAAAGTGGGTAAAGGACATGAACAGACACTTTGCAAAAGAAGACATACATGTGGCTAACAAGCATAAGAAAAAAAGTTTAAAATAACTGATCATTAGAGAAATGCAAATCAAAATCACGATGAGATACTATCTCACACTAAGAATGGCTATTACTAAAAAGTAAAAAAAAAACAGATGCTGGCAAGGTTGTGGAGAAAAAGGAATGCTTATACACTATTAGTAGAAGTGTAAATTAGTTCAACCATTGTGGAAAACAGTGTAATGATTCTTCAAAGACCTAAAAACAGAAATACCATTCAACCCAGCAATATATATGAATATATACCCATTCAATCCATTACTGGGTATATAACCAAAGTAATATAAACAATTCTGTCATAAACACAAATGCACGTGTATGTTCATTACAGCAGTATTCACTGGCAAAGACATGGAATCAACCTAAATGCCCATCAGTAGTAGACTGGATAAAGAAACTGTGCTATGTATACACCATGGAATACCATGCAGCCATAAAAAAGAATAAGATAATGTCTTTTGCAGGAACATGGATGGAGCTGGAGGCCATTGTCCTTAGCAAACTAACACAGGAACAGAAAACCAAATACCACCTGTTCTCACTTAGAAGTGGGAGCTAAATGATGATAACGTATGGACACATAGAGGGGAACAACAGACTCTGGGGCCTACTGAAGGTGGAGGGTGGGAGAAGGATCAGGAAAAATAACTAACGGGTACTATGCTTAATACCTGGGTGACAAAGTAATCTGTACAACAAACCCACATGACAGAAATTTACCTAAATAACAAACCTGCACGTGCACCCCTGAACTTAAAATAAAAGTTCAATAAATAAATAAATTGATTTGTGCAAAGGAAAAGCAGAAATAAGGAATTAAAACATAAACATATTCTACTTTTTAGTAATCAAATCAAATCATAGCCAGTATTACTTAGTAATAAAATTGGTCCACTTAGACACTATTGGTTGTGTTGAAATTCTAACATCTATCTTGAAAAGAAATATTGCAAAACATCAAGAGCCATCATGGAAATGTACGGGGCATACGTTTTGACTTAGAAGTCCCTACTCTAAGATTTTATCCTCGAAAAGTAACTCAATAGCAGAAAACAACCATATGCATGAAGCTACTTGTTGCAGCATTATTTGTAACTAAAAATTTGAAACATAAATATGCTATACATCAGGTAATTTTTCAGACAATTATAAACTTAATGAAATATTCCATAATTATTAAATATAATTTGAAGGATTATGAAAACATTTTAGTCTTAATTTAAAAAGAGTCCCACAAAATTGTATGTGCATTAGGATTATGATGTGCTTACATGGTTATAATCATAACCATATAATCATAATCATTTCTATATGATTATAATCATAACCATATAGAAATATAGAATATATGATTATATATGATAAATATTATTATAATTATAACCATATATAAATAGATATAGAGTTGATTAAAATTTAAAGAGAACATGCAAAATTGAAAATAGTTGTATTTAAGTGGAAAACATGGAATATATTTTTTTCTTTTAAAACAGTTCATTTTGCTGGATATTGATTTTGCAATAAAATATGATATTTAAAAGAAAATATACTTAGAAACCTACTTTATTGGAAGGATTAATAGCAAAACATAAACTAACACTATTCAGTCTCCTTTTCATTTACAGAAAATTGAAGGTCTTCAGGAATGTAGAAATTTGGAAAAACTATATTTATATTTTAATAAAATTTCCAAAATAGAAAATTTAGAGAAATTAATCAAATTGAAGGTTCTTTGGCTGAACCACAATACAATTAAAAATATTGAGGTAAGATAATAATTTCAATTATCTATATGTAAAACCAATTACTACTGTAGAGTTTAAACCGCAATGTTCAAGATCATATTGTGGTTAAAGGCCAAACTATTCATGACTGGTACAATTATTGTTGTCAAAAAGAACTAACATGTATATAGCATTTTATAAGGTACAGAGGATATTGTATACATTACCTTCTTTACTCTTTACAAGCCTAAAAGGTAAGGCATTGTTATTCTTTCTTTGAAGGTTAAAAAAAAAGAGATTTAGAGAAGTTACATAACTTGCCTAAGATTATAAATATACTCTGTGTGATGTATTCTTTTCCTCCTACTCCTCCTTTTTTTCCTCTCTACTCCGCTTCCTGTTCTCTCCTCCAATAATTCTAAGTTCCAGTATAGAGAACAAAGGTGGCTTCTTGGAGGCACTCATTTCCTTCTGTGCTCGTGATGCACAAAGTACCCTGTGCTCAGAGCACCTGGAGAACTAACCAGATTAATCAGAGATGATTTGTAAATGTTAATTTTAATTATTTGTTCTAAATTGTATGTTGTCTAAATTTTTAGGGTTTGCAAACTTTGAAGAATTTAAAAGATCTCAACCTTGCTGGAAATCTAATAAATAGCATTGGTATGTACTATTTCATTTGGAATCTGAGATAATGCTATAGTCATTTTTCATCAATATAAAAAGGATATGCTTAGATTTTTTTTTCTTTTAGGCTTTTTTCTGTGATATATTTGCAAAGCATATTGAAGCCTGTGAAAATATTATTCATTAATCAGTGATTACTAATTATACAATGGTACCATCAGTCTGTTTATATGCAAGAAATGATGGCTACGTACAACTCAGAAGTATGACAGAATATAAACAGAAGGTAAAATAATAAATTTAATTCTTTTCATCTTATTTTTTAAAGGTCGATGTCTTGACTCCAATGAACAACTGGAAAGATTAAACCTTTCTGGTAACCAAGTATGTTCTTTCAAGGTATGTTTAAGTGGAATAATTTTTATTTATCATCCTGAATCTTGAACCATTGTGTTGCAGAAACTGTACTAAAAAGTCCCCCATTAAGGAATAAGTTCATTATTTTGGGCTGATGCTCCAGGAAATTTGAAAGTCATCTGACCACATTGGCCTTAATGATCTGACACTATTGAAACCAAACAAATAACGATTTACCTGGCTCTTAGGATACGATTTTCTCTTAGTTTTCTTCCAGTCTTTTGGCTACATCTCTTCAGTTTCTGTTCTTTTATCCTCTCCGAGCATGTAAGATATGGACTTCCCTTGATCAGTACTGACATCTTTTCTCATTTCTGTCTGCATTTATTCTCTAAATAGTCTCATCATGCCTTAAGACTTTAAATACCCTTTGTGTACTGATTACTCTAAACTAGTACCTTTACTTTCCTTGACAGCTCTCCAGAACTGTACACATATCTTAATGCAAACTAATTTTTCTTCTACCAGACCTTCTCCTGCAGTCTTCCTCACCTCTCTAAATGGAGTTTCCATTCTTCCAGTAACTTAAGCCAAAATCCTTATAGTCATTTTTGACTCTTATTATTCCTTCATACCCTCATCCTATCCATCAGCAAGTACAATTGGGTGCACCTTCAGAATATGTCCAGAGTCTGATCACTTCTTACCACCTGCATCACTACCAGGCTGATTCAAGACACTATGATCTCTAACCTGCATTAATGGAAAAAAGCTTCCTAACAATTTTCCTGTTTGTCCTTTCCCTACTATAGATCTGTTCTCCACACAGAAGCCTTATGGAACCTTTAAAAATCTGTCAGATAAAAATCACCCTTCTGCTTAAAACCTTCCCTTGGCTTCTCATCTCTTTCAGAGTAGAAGACATTTCTTATAATGGGCCATAAGACTACCTAATCTAGCCACCCCACCACCCCCAACCTGTCGCTTTGACTACAGCGTCTACCACTCTCTCCTTCGTTTGTCCAGTTTCAGCCACACTAGTCTGAATATACCTAGCACACAGTAATCTTAGGGCCTTTGCACTCGCTGGAATTTTCTTTCCTCATATACCTGCATGGCTCATTTCCTCGTTTATTTCAGGTCTTTGTCAAAATATTATGTTCTAAGTGACACCTTTCCTTCCCAATTTAGGTGTAATAGGAAAACCCTCACAACCCTCCCCAACCTGCAGCACTCGCTATCACTGTGCCACTGTTTTATTTTTCCTCTTGGCACATCCCTTACTAGAATACCAGCTCTCTGAGTACAGGAACTTTGCCTGTTCTCTTCATTGCTATATCCACAACCCTTAACATAGTGTTGGACATGTAGTAAATCTCAATAAACATTTGTCAAGAACATGAATGAAAGAGAAACAACCAAATAAAGGGACTTAATATTTATCACATATAATGTTGGTTAAAAGGTGACATTTATAATTTTGACAGTGTAAGACTGAAGGTGCATATTCGAACACATCCTCTAGAAAATATTGAAGAAAGGTAAATTTACTATAGAAATAACTTTGAGTTCATAAGTATTAAAGTAGGCATTATTCTACTCAGGCAAAAATATAAAAATACCAAAAAGCTATAGAATGAGGCAGATTAAGTCCCTTAAAAAGATATGTAAACAAAATTCTATTAGTGAAATTCAAGAGGAAATATTTGATAAGAACTTTAAAGTGTCAACAGAATTTGAACAAGCATTGGTGGGAGGATCTTCTGGGTAGTAGGGCGTGGGCATTCTAAGAAGGGGAAAACAATATGTACAAACACAGAGAAGTGAGAAATCAAGGGGTATATTTGAATAACACCAGCATTGTCATTTGACTGGAATATAGAGTATATATAGCAATATTGGAAGTTAACTAGAAAGGTCAATTGGGTCTCGAATATAGACGGTATTTTATAGACAACAGAGAGCTGTAAAATTTTTGAGCAAGAAAGTGATATGATCAGAAATGTTCTTTAGGGATAGTGATCTGGAGTTAGTGTTTATTGACTTGGAACAGCTAGAAGAAGAAAACCCAGTCAGGAGATTTCAGGAATAATCTAAATGAGAGATTGTGAGACTACGAATTGGAGTGTTAAGAGAAAAAAGAAGAAAAGAAGAAGAAGAGAAGGAGGAGGAAAGACGAGGAAGAAATAGATGCAAGAGACATTATGGTTGTTGAATTTGCAGAATTTCACAGCTAGTAGAATGTGAAGAGCTAGAGAGTCCGAAATGAATCTGTGATTACAGTTCTTAGCAAGCTCAAAAAATATACAAATCAGAAAAATAATGGCTAGTTTTGTGGGGGTGAGGGGAAGGGAATGTGTCTGGTTTTGGATATGTTGAGTTTAGAGTACCAGTGGGGCCCTCCAGGTGAAGATCTGCACACACAACACTGAGAAATGGGTAAAGAATAGTCAATACCTTACAATCTTGGCATAACAAGCAAGAGTGTGAAGCAATGCTTAGGGCCATGGCAAATTGTCTCTACCAACATTGAGGCCATCAGATAGGTGATCAGATTAAACGTGGAAAATAAGCCATGATAGAAACCAGAGACACTCAGAGGGTGGTAACAGTTGTGACAGGGACAGGCAGTAAGATAGATAACAGGATTGTGTGTGTGTGTGTGTGCATGCATGCATGCACATGCACACGTGTATCTTTCCCCTTCTAGTTCTGCCAGTTTAAGATACTACACTAAATCTTTAAATCATACTTACTATATGGAAATTCTAATTTTCAGCCTGGTAAACACATCATAAAATTAAAACAAACAGACAAAAAAACCTTTGAAATAATTCTTACTTTTAAAAGAGCTCTTTTAAATCAATTAGAAACAAATAATCTAAGATACCCAGTAGAATAAAGGATAAGTGAGCAGATAATTCATAGAATTGAACTCCACATGACTAGTAGATTCATAAAATAATTTTCAATCCTACTAAGAATGAATAAAATGAAAAATAAAATGTGATATAAGGCTGGACATAGTGGCTCATGCCTGTAATCCTATCACTTTGGGAGGCCAAGGCAGGCGGATCACTTGAGGTCAGGAGTTCGAGACCAGTCTGGCCAACATGGTGAAACCTTGTTTCTACTAAAAATCCAAAAAAAAAAAAAAAATAGCCAGGCGTGGTGGTGGGCGCCTATAATCCCAGTTACTCAGGAGGCTGAAGCAGGAGAATCTCTTGAACCTGGGAGGCGGAGGTTGCAGTGAGCTGAGATTGCACCATTGCACTACAGCCTGGGTAACAGAGCGAGACTAGGTTTCAAAAAAAAAAAGAAGATATAATTGTAATTGATAATATTTTATATAGTCAACATTTGATAAACATGATACTCTGTGTTAGAAAGAGTAGGATAAGATGGGCATTTATATGACATTGGTAATCATTTAAAATGATAGAACTTTTCTAGAAAGCATTTAGATAATGTGTACCAAGTCCTTTAAACAGGCTTCTATCCTTTATCAATTCCTCTTTTAGGAATCTATTCCAAGAAAATAATGTGAAATGTGGATAAAGCTTTTATACTTAAAATAGGCTAAAATTCCAGAAGAGATCAGAGAGAGAGCTATGAATGTTAAATTCAGAGTGCTGTGGGAACATATAAAAGGGAGACCTAGCCTTGTTTGGGATATCAGGACAAGACATCCTTGAGGAGCTAATGTTGCAGCTAATGATATCAGACGTGAGTAGGAGTTGCCCAGGCAAAGACCCTTCCAGGCTTAAAAGTTAAAGCATGTGTGAAGGCTCAAGGTGGTTGAAAGGGGTATGGCAGATTCTACAAACTAGAAATCCTCTGTGACTGGAACACAGCAAGGGAAGCAATTATGACATAAGGCTGAAGAAGATAAGTGCAGGATTCTAGGAAAATAAGGCATTGCCCTGTCAAGAAACTATAGGGAAGTTTATCTTACCTGGCTAGCCATGGTACCCTTGTGGTGGTTATAAGCTGTGGCTGCATAGGCAGAAAGACCTCTCAGGTCTAGCTCTGCCTCACACTAGAGGCAGCATAATACAGTGGAACATGAAGTTTAGGTGAAATAACAATGTAAAGTACCCGAATAGTGACCACCACATAGTAAGGACTCAACAGATCCATTGTTCTTATTATTTTATTACCATTACTTTAATTACACTGACCTGCTGTATTTCAGTATCTTTATTTTAAAAATGGTGATAACAGGATTATTATAAAAATTCATTGTGTGTCATAATATTTAAAAAGGCTTTTTATGGCATTATGACTGTCACGAAAACATTGAACCTGATTCACAGGAGCTTTTACTATCTTCATATTAGAAATGTTCCTGGAACACTATTATCTTAGATTTTTATCTCTAACCTTTCCTCCTACCCTAAGAAGATAACTATCCTATCCTGGTGGTGACTGAATAAATTCTGTGCCCACCTTCCAACCATACCAGGCACCAGAGCACTAATTTTCAGTGAGATTTTGTGCCTTCATGGACTCCACTGTCATCTGAATTTGGCATGTAGTCGGGGGATTTCTGTGTAGGAATTCAGAGTTTATACCCACCATCTACCAGCTCATTTATACCCACCATCTACCATAGTCAATGAAACATAGCAACCCAGTAATCAAAGGCTGCCAAATGGTTTACCTTCTTGCCCCTGCAGAATTTGACCAAATAATTCTCTGCACAGCTCTGTCCATAAATTTTCCTTTTAGAGCAACTCTGCTTAGTCCTCCTCCCCACATAGGCTCAGCCCAAGCCTCAGGTCAGACCAGTGAGCCACATTCTCACTTGTCCAGAGAGAGTTTGGAAATATATTAACCACCTCAACCTGTATTACTCTTGTTTCCAGCAACCTGACTTCACTATTCTCTTTTCCATTCCTTTTTTACTGTAACTTTAGAACTAATGCTTCCTGGTTCTTCCTTTGGATTTCCCTTAACCTTGATTCTGATTTTTCTAGCTAGCATTGCATCCTTTCACGTTTGACTCCACCACAGTACCCTCCTATCTCAGGCACCATCCTGGTAATGAGAAAGTATGAGGATATCCTCAAAGTTGGTTGAAAGTAATCAATTTACTTTACATATTTATTTAGTGCCTGCTGTGTTCTGAGTGCTGAGTGTTGGGAATACAATGTTAAACAAGACACAAACCGTGTTCTCCACAAGTTTATTGCAGGGTTAGCAAACGTTTTCTGTAACGACAACAAAAAAAAGCCAAATAGAAAGTATTTCAGGCTCTGTGGGCCACATGTGGCCTCTACTGCATATTCTTCTGTTTTTTCAATACTTAAAAATGTAAATAACATTCTTTTTTTGCAGATTGGGGGCCAAAGCCCATATAGACCCTTGGCTTATAGATACAAGCAATTGGCAATAGGGTATGATAAAGTCCATACCAAAACTAAGCTCAGTAGCTAAAAGAGCTCTTAGGAGGAACATCTATCCCAACATTGGGGGATGAAACAAGGCTCCCAGGGAATATGACACTGGGTTGGGCCCTGACAGATTAAAAGGTGAAACTGGGGTGAAGTTCAGGCCACTCAAAAGGAGCAGCATGGGTAAAGGTCTAAGGACAAGATAGGGCTGGGCACATTCCAAAACTTCAACTGGTTCAATATGACTAAATCATAAAATATTAGGGTTTAAACAGGAAGAGGCAGGATGGAAGAGTTAATCAAGAGCCAGATGACAAATAAAGGAAAGTATAAATAATGACTTAAACATCAGGAAAAAATATTTTAAGGAGAAACATTGGTCTGAGAGTGCATATCAATCCTTCCTCATCCATAAGTTGTGAGAGAACTGAGACCCTCAAGGAAAGTTAGACTTTAGTTGACCATAATAGGTAAAACAGGTACTTAATGGAAAAAACAAAACAAAAAAAACCCAAAAATCAGGAATTCCATGATGATTGTTTGTAATGAACAGGGGATCCCATAGCCTTTAATGAATAGAGCAGATCTGGAAGCAGGGAGGATGAACAGGAGTGTTTCTAGGTGATAAGTATAGGAAATAGGAGTGAAGAAAGCAGAGACCTACAGGTATCCTGGGGGCAATTAGCAAGAGGGGCCGTGTAGGGAGGCAACATATTAATGAACAAATGTGCTCGCATCACTGGCTTCAATGTTCCAGCTGGAATACATGATTTAGTAAATATTTAAAAGGCATAGTGGTATAGCGTATTGTTTAATTATTGTTGCTATTTTCTTCGGGAATTTAGCTTGTTTTTCAATAGAGAGAAACATTTTAGGCATCTAAATCACTTTAATGTATTTAAGCACATAATTAGAATGCATTAGAGTATGGCTGATCTTAAGTGTTCAAATACTGCCTTTAGAAATGACAGTCACAATTAATTGAACATTATCTTTGCTGGTGTTTTAGGAGCTCACGAACTTAACCAGGCTGCCTTGCTTAAAGGATTTATGTCTGAATGATCCTCAATATAAAACCAATCCAGTTTGTCTTCTGTGTAATTATTCCACACATGTATTATATCATTTGCCTTGCCTTCAAAGATTTGACACATTGGATGTGTCAGGAAAGCAAATCAAGGAACTGGCAGATGTAAGTACATCCCTAATCAGGCATCTGTGATTTCTGTTTTATTAGTTAGTTTATTAGTTAGGCTTCTTTCTGGCCATGTCCACATATGGTAGGTAGGATTATCAGTTCAGTTCTTGTTGCCAAGTCTACTTTTGCCCTAGTGAACTGGATATTACACATAAAAGTATATAAATAATAATATTAATACTAGAATCTTAATTTTGATGACAGTACTGGAAGGTGAAATAATGAAGTAATATTGCTTCTAATCTATACAAAACAAGAAGGAAATTGAAAAAAATAAGTGTCAAAAATAATTAGACTAGTGCCATGTATATATAAATTAAAGCTTAAATAACAGAAATGTAACAACCACTTCTCCTTTGGAATATTACATATCAAAATTAGAAAATATCTATGGTTTATGGTAGTCGACCAAGGATTAGGTAGATTTTAATCTAATTAAAGATGGTTTGTGATTATCTGAAAGTTTAAGTAGCTGAGGACATCAGGGGAAGAGAAGTAACAGATGAAGACAGGAGTGGTGGAGGCCAGATTATGTGAGACTGTAGACTGTTGTAAGGACTTTGGTCTTTATTTTGAGTGAGATGGGATCCACTGGAAAATTCTGATCAGAGGTGGGACTAAGATGACTTATGGTTTAAAGGGATCCTTTTGAATAATGTATTAAGAATAGACAATTAGAGGGGGAAAGTTGAAAGCAGAGAGACCAGTTAGGAGATTATTCCAGTAACTTAGATGAGCAATGTGGATGGTTCAATGCATGGTGTTCACAGAGAAAGTGGTAAGAAGTTGGATTCTGGTAGCAGTTACAAGATGGAACCTATCTGGGTTTACTGATGGATTGGATATTAAGTACAGAGGAAAGAAGTAGAGAATAATTCCAAGATATTGACTGGAGCAATTCAAAGAGTAAGTTGCTATTTGACGACATGAGGAAGAGTATAGGAGGAGTAGGGGAGGAGTAGGTTTAGAAGGAAAAATCATTATTTTAGAATCATGATAATTTTAGGCATGTAAAGTTTGAACAATTTTTTGAATATCCTAAGGGGACATGCTCAGTAAGTAGTTGGATATCCATATGAGTCTACTATGTGGGAGAGTTCCCCAGATTGGGGGTATAAATTAAAATATGAGAACTGAAAGCAGAAAGTTGGTACTTAAAGCTGTGGACTGGATGAGTCACCAAGGGAATGGTGTGGAAGAGAAAGTGTGTCACTTGGGTGCTAAATGTTGGGTAGATGAGAAGGAACCTACAGAGGAGACTGAAAAGGAGAACTAAGAGAGGCAGGTTCTTCTGACATTCTGACTGAGATTCTCATACATTTGGTTCAGTCTTGTAAATGTCAGGAGTAACATAAAGAACAACAAAAAAAGAAATTGTTAGACAGTTTCTAACATCTTAAATTAAGTAATTATATTTCATTTTCTTATTGTAAAATATTTACCCTCCCTTTACCTTTTAAGGCACAAATAAGATATATACTATAGTCCAACTTTAGATTCAGACCAAAATGATTTTCAAATTCAAAGTATTTTTAATGTATGGATTGATATAGATTTCTAAAATGCTTTTTTCCTTACTATGCATAAGAAGACAAGTTGTGGCAGTTCTTTGTGATGAATTCTTGAACAGAGTGCTATTGATTCTTCAGATTTTCACCTATGACTGTGACCTAGTTTGTGTAAACTACAAGTGGCAGGTAAAGTCAGAACCTACCAGGAGGACCACCAAAGAGTTAGTGTGAGACAGAGGGAAGAACATATGGGTTCAAATCCGAAGACTTGGATTCAAGCCCCCAACTGCATGTGCTACTACTGAAGCTCAGTTTTCTGAACTGAAACGAAGATGATGAAAATAGTATCTGCTTTTCAGCACAGGGTTGTTTGGGGGAGCCAATGAGTTAATGTACATAAAAGCCCATTTTAATTGTTAAGTAGTATAAAAATAAGTGCTATGAAACTATAGTTGAATATAATTCTGTTTATGACTTTGAATTCTTTTTTGGCTACCTAAGATGCAAAGGGATCAAATTTTGTCTTAGTACAAACATGCAGCTGAATTTAGCATTATAACTAGTCCAATTTCTTTTTCTTAAAAGTTTTGACAGGTGTGGAATTCTACCAAAGTCTTTGAAAGTGACTTTGACATTAATTTTTTAAAGTCCGAATACAAAAAGCAAGTTGCATGTGGTCAGCCTACAAAGTTGATTGGCTATAGAGTTACAGTTTATAAAATAGTCTTCCCTCCTTCCCCAAAATCTTACTATATACTCTCAAACAAGGACAAAAAAAACCCCGTTCATTGACAACTCTTATTTATTGTTATGACATACTAAGTGATTTTGAAAAAGTTTAGAAATAGTAAAATATCATAATTTTTGTTTCTATATGAAGATATAGGTACATTCTTAATAAATTAGAAAAAGTTGAAACTATGGTAAGATTTACTAGACACTAAAGTCAGTCATTTTCTGCAGAAGATGGGGCAACTGAGAAGATGGGAAACATAAGTGGGAAGTAGACTTTTCATTGTATAAATTAATTTTTTTGGTTTTTGAAATGTGAATATATTGCTTATTCAAAAAAATTAAAATAAAACTCGTATGTTTTAATCTTTTATTTACCCCACCTAGGGGATTCCAAGTTAAATTTAAATTTTAGATAAACAATAAAGATGTTTTAGTATAATTAAATAAGTATAAGTAAGTTTAGTATTATGTATATTAAAACATTATTTGTTGTTTATCTGAAATTCACATTTAATTTGGTATCCTGTATTTTATCTGACCAAATTAACTCCATCCCATGTTCTCTTGTTGTGTTATTTTCTCCCTTTTATTTACAATTGATGCATAATAATTCTATATATAATGATCAAATAAGGGTAATTAGCATATTCATCTCCTCAAACATTTATTTTCTGTTGTGAACATTCAAAATCCCTTCTTCCAGATTTTTGAAAATATACACATTATAGTTAACCATATTCACCCTGCAGTGCTACAGAACACCAGAATTTATTCTTCCTATCTAGCTGTAATTTTGTACCCTTAACCAACCTTTCTCCCCATTCTCTCCTCCCGACTACCTCGCCTACAGCCTCCAATAGCTACAATTCTGCTCTCTACTTCCATGAGCTCAAAAAATGTTTTTAGTTCTCATACGTGAGTGATAACATGCAGTCTTTATTTTTCTGTGCCTGACTTATTTCGCTTAACATAATGTCCTTCAGGCTCAACCATATTGCCACAAATGACAGGGTTTCATTCTTTTTTATAGTTAAATAGTATTCCATTATGTATATACACGTGTGTGTGTGTAATATGATATACATATATTACATTTTCTTTATCCATTCACCTATTGATGGCATTTAGGTTAATTCTAAATCTTAGCTATGTGAATAGTGCTGCAGTAAACGTGGGGGTGCAGGTATCCCTTGGATACACTGATTTCCTTTGTTTTGGATAAATACCCAGGAGTGAGGTTGCTGAATCCTATGGAAGTTCTGCTTTTAATTTTTTGAGAAAACTCCATCCTGTTTTTCATAATGGCTGTACTAATTTACATTTCTACTAACAGCATATAAGAGTTCCCTCGGCCCAGGTGAGCAGATCACTTGAGGTCAGCAGTTTGCAACCAGCCCGGCCAACATGGTGAAACCCCATCTCTACTAAAAATACAATACACATTAGCCGGGTGTGGTGGCAGGTGCCTCTAATCCCAGCTACTCGGGAGGCTGAGGCAGGAGAATTGCTTGAACCCACAAGGCAGAGGTTGCAGTGAGCCGATATTGCGCCACTGCACTTCAGCCTGAGCGACATAGTGAGACTCTATCTCAAAAAAAAAAAAAGTTCCCTTTGCTCTGCATCCTCACCAGCATCTCTTTTTGTGTGTGTGTGTGATTTTTATTTGCATTTCCATGATGGTTAGTTAGTGATGAGCATTTTTTCATATACCTAGTGGCTATTTGTATGATATCTTTTGAGAAATGTCTGTGCAGTTCCTTTGCCCACCTTCTGGTTGGATTATTTGTGTGTGTGTGTGTGTGTGTGTGTGTGTTTCATTTGTGTGTGTATGTGTTTGGGTTTTTTTTGTATTTTGTTTTGCTGTTGAGTTGTTTGAGTTCCTTGTATATTCTGGATATGAGATCCTTAATGGATGAGTAGTTTGCAAATATTTTCTCCCTTCCATAGTTTGTCTCTTCACTCTGTTGATTGTTTCCTTTTGCTGTGCAGAAGCTTTTTAGTTTAATGTAGTACCATTTGTCTATTTATGTTTTTGTTGCCCATGCTTTTGAAGTATTTGTCATAAAATCCTTGCCTAGATCAATGTCCTGAAACATTTTCTCTTTTTTCTTCCAGTAGTTTTATGGTTTCAAGTTTTACATTTAAGTCCATTTTTTGAGTTGATTTTTGTATATGTTGAGAGATAGGGGTCTAGTTTCATTCTTCTGTATGTAGATATCCTATTGTTTTAGATTTAAGAATTTATTAGAATTATTTTTAGCTGTAACTGACCCACAGAATTTTGTATTGGATTTCCTATTCTCTCCAAATAGGAAAAAAAAAAAAATCAAGAAACACCATTTCCCATTTCTTAAGTTACAATTTTTTCTTTTAACTCAGTTGCACTTCAGAAATTAAGCTTTTATTTATAAAAGATATTTAATCAGTTTATCATGATCCTAAAACAAATTTTTTTCTTGACTATTCTTTGTTATGATTGTCTTATTTTTGGCAGGGGAATTTGGTGATTTCAGTTGCAGTACTTCATAATATGCATGGGGAAATAGAATTCTTTTGGCCTCTCATCATACTATGTATTTGTTTCTATTCTGCCTTTTATGCCAGAAAATTACATTAGGATCTTAATTATCCACTCCATACTAAATAAATTTCATAAGAAAAGACTGCATCTGTAGAAAATACATGTCTAAGAGTGTAAAAGTCTTCCAACTTATTTGCTTTCATTATTTCAGGTAAACAAAACCATGTCAGATTTTTTATAATGCCTCAAATTTGTTTATGGTCTTCTCAGATAGTTCTTTTTAACTAACATAACTCTCAAGTACCATTTAGCTGGTGCATTTCTTAATTATGGATTTAATCAATTTATCCTGATAAATTTATTAATAACTGAATGATGCATTGTTATTAAGGAATGCAAGATAAATGGATTTGATAGACATTTAGTAATTTGCTTAGCCTAATGAACATTCTTTTATAAATTTGAAAAAAAATTATATTCCTTAGCCATGCTTTTAAAAAATGAATTGAGTAATGTAATATTTGCTTTTAATTCTTATTAATTTCTTTTATTCCCTGAGTTAATCAAATAGGAATAACGAGTTATATGTTTGCTCTAATTGTACTGCCTCATTACCTGTACTATTTTATACATTACATTTTATCTGTAGTCTCTTTATGTTGTTATTCTGGAAATAAATGTGAATTTGCCTCACACTTTATGCCTCACAAAGAAAATCTTTGGAATTTTATATTTTTTATTAAGTTTAAATATAGAACTCTGTGTAGCCATTGTCACTCCAGCTATCATCTTTATTAGTACCTGAGCATGCAAATCATCTAAATTGTTATATAGAACATACTGTACTTATATAATATCACTAATAATTGCCTATAATTTGTTTTAGCTAATTTTTATGTTGTTTTCTTTCTTACTTTTAGACCACAGCAATGAAAAAAATAATGTATTACAATATGCGTATAAAAACTCTTCAGAGGCATCTTAATGAAGACCTTGAAAAACTGAATGATCGAAAATGCAAATTACAAAAGTTGCCAGAAGAACGAATAAAATTATTCAGCTTTGTGAAGAAAACCGTAAGATTTAGTAATGTAAAATTCCAGTGGCCATATCTTAAGAAAACTGTTAGATAAGATAGCAAGCAATATATTTTAAATTATGTATATAATACACACACACACACACACATATGTAATTACTACTGAATTTCAAGTTAAGCTTGCTCCAAAAAAGTTTTGATTCCAAGTACTTAACTAAGCTGCATTCTGTGCTTAGAAGTCTGCAATTCAAAAAAGGTGTAGGTGAGTAGATTGCAAAAATTTTCTCCCATTCTGTAGGTTGCCTGTTCACTCTGATGGTAGTTTCTTTTGCTGTGCAGAAGCTCTTTAGTTTAATTAGATCCCATTTGTCAATTTTGGCTTTTGCTGCCGTTGCTTTTGGTGTTTTAGACATGAAGTCTTTGCCCATGCCTATGTCCTGAATGGTACTACCTAGGTTTTCCTCTAGGGTTTTTATGGTATTAGGTCTAACATTTAAGTCTCTAATCCATCTGACAAAGGGCTAATATCCAGAACCTACAAAGAACTCAAACAAATTTACAAGAAAAAAACAAACAACCCCATCAAAAAGTGGGCAAAGGATATGAACAGACATTTCTCAAAAGAAGACATTCATACAGCCAACAGACACATGAAAAAATGCTCATCATCACTGGCCATCAGAGAAATGCAAATCAAAACCACAATGAGATACCATCTCACACCAGTTAGAATGGCGATCATTAAAAAGTCAGGAAACAACAGGTGCTGGAGAGGATGTGGAGAAATAAGAACACTTTTACACTGTTGGTGGGATTGTAAACTAGTTCAACCATTATGGAAAACAGTATGGCGATTCCTCAAAGATCTAGAACTAGATGTACCATATGACCCAGCCATCCCATTACTGGGTATATACTCAAAGGATTATAAATCATGCTGCTATAAAGACACATGCACACGTATGTTTATTGCGGCACTATTCACAATAGCAAAGACTTGGAATCAACCCAAATGTCCATCAGTGACAGACTGGATTAAGAAAATGTGGCACATATACACCATGGAATACTATGCAGCCATCAAAAAGGATGAGTTTGCGTCCTTTGTAGGGACATGGATGCAGCTGGAAACCATCATTCTTAGCAAACTATCACAAGAACAGAAAACCAAACACCGCATGTTCTCACTCATAGGTGGGAACTGAACAATGAGATGACTTGGACTCGGGAAGGGGAATATCACACACCAGGGCCTATCATGGGGAGGGGGGAGAGGGGGAGGGATTGCATTGGGAGTTATACCTGATGTAAATGACGAGTTGATGGGTGCTGACGAGTTGATGGGTGCAGCACACCAACATGGCACAAGTATACATATGTAACAAACCTGCACGTTATGCACATGTACCCTAGAACTTAAAGTATAATAATAATAAAAAATTAAAAAAAATTTTAAAAAAAGTGTAGGCTTATTAAATTATGAATTTTGTTAAAAAAACTATGTATTTTAATGTGAGTTAGAGTGTTACAAAAATTGTTAGACTTATTTCAGCTGCATTTTTATTAGATGCCAGCAGGCTGTACTCAAAATTCATTTGCTTGTTTAAGGTGCTAAAAAAAAAAAAAACAACAACCCTTTACTAATAATATTAAGGTATACAACAAAGTGGGAATTTTAAGTCAAGCTATATTTTAGTAATATGCATGCATTTTTATTTAGAATAAATTGGATTTCTTTTACTAAAAGTAGACCCTGAAAAAGTAAGCATTATTTAACTCAAAACAGAATCTTGTATATATAATAATTCTTGTATTTTTTTCAGTATGAGGAAATAATGGATTATTCAACAAATGGTATTAGAAAAGTAGTCAAACTATTTGGGAGCTGGAGAGTTGGATCCTTCATTTGCACTTTACAAAATGTAAATACCAGTAGGAAAAAAAGAATTAAATGTAAAAATCAAAACATGAAAACTTGAAGAATAAATATATAGATGGATATATTTATCTGATCTCAGCCTGCTAAATTAAAGAAACACTAGAAATCACAAAGGAATAAAATGTAGATTTGATTTTTTAAAAACCAGTGAAATGCTTTTGTATTTAAAATCATCATTAATAAATGTAAACAAAAAATGAAACTGAAAAGTGTCTTCAACAAACATGATGGACAAAGGGTCAATATCCTTAGTATAAAAAGGTGCTCATATGTAAAACAAAATAAAAGGTAAATGTCTAAATAGAAAAATTGAGCAAAGTATGTAAACTAGAATTTTGCAAAAGTAGAAATAAAAATGACTAAGAAGCATTTGAAAGAACTCAATTTGATGATTAATTCAATTTGATGATTAATTTCCAAATGTTAATTAAGATACCAAGAAACTGTTTTACCTATAAACTGTCAAAGTATGACACATGACAGTACTCAGGCTGGTGAAGACGGATGTGACACACTAGATACCACTTATGGAAGTGTAACTTTGGTCATATGTATAACAGTCTACAAAAGCTGAGTTTTTGACCCAGTAAATCTGCTTCTAGCACTCTATTGTAAATATGTATATAAAATGATATATATAAAAATATTTATATATATATCATTGCACTATTAATAATTTAAAAATTGGAAACTGTTTAATGAGAAGAGTTATACACTCAAGATAGTGTGTAGCTATTAATATTAAAAACCAAAGTTTTGAAATACATTTAATGCTTTTTTAAAGTGAGCAGTTCTTATTATAATTAGAAAAATATTCTTAAAGTAAAACATTAATAAAATTTAATTAAAATTAAAATTAATAATAAAGATTTCAATAAAAATCACAAGAGATCAATATATGGATATCACTTTATCACTTTATATCTGCTATTTTCATGTGCAAATGCATGTATTAAGTAAAATCTGCAAATTAGAAAAATAATGGCTATAGATATATACAAATATATACATTTTAATGAATATGCTTAATCTCTTTTCTAATACCTGGATATATCTATTATAGAGGAGTGCAGATAACTAGTAAATTTCCACTTATATACACTTGCCCTTATAGAGTACAGTTTATCTGTTGTTGTTGTTGCTTTTATTTTACTTTAAATTCCAGGATACATGTGCAAAACATGCAAATGTTACATAGGTATACATTTGACATGATGGTTTGCTGCACCTATCAACCTGTCATCTAGGTTTTAAGCCCCACATGCGTTAGGTATTTGTCCTAATGCTCTCCCTCCCCTCGCCCCCCACCCCACAACAGGCCCTGGCGTGTGATGTTCCTCTCCCTGTGTCCATGTGTTCTCATTGTTCAACTCCCACTTGTGAGTAAGAAAATATGGTGTTTGGCTTTCTGTTCCTGTGTTAGTTTGCTGAGAATGATGGCTTCCAGCTTCATTCATGTCCCTGCAAAGGACATGAACTCATTCTTTTTAATGGCTGCATAGTACTCCATGGTGTATATGTGCCACGTTTTCTTTATCCAGTCTGTCACTGATGGGCATTTGGGTTAGTTCCAAGCCTTTGCTATTGTAAATAGTGCTGCAATAAACATATGTGTGCATATGTCTTTATAGTAGAATGATTTATAATCCTTTGGGTGTATACCCAGCAATGGGATTACTGGGTCAAATAGTATTTCTGGTTCTAGATCTTTGAGGAATCGTCACACTGTCTTTCACAATGGTTGAACTAATTTACACTCCCACCAACAGTGTAAAAGCGTTCTTATTTCTCCACATCCTCTCCAGCATCTGTTGTTTCCTGACTTTTTAATAATCGCCATTCTAACTGGCATGAGATGGTATCTCATCGTGGTTTTGATTTGCATTTCTCTAATCACCAGTGATAATGAGCTTTTCTTCATACGTCTGTTGGCAGCATAAATGTCTTCTTTTGAGAAGTGTCTGTTCGTATCCTTCGACCACATTTTGATGGGGTTGTTTTTTTCTCGTAAATTTGTTTAAATTCCTTGTAGATTCTGGATATTAGACCTTTGTCAGATGGGTATCTTGCAAAAATTTTCTCCAATTCTGTAGGTGGCCTGTTCAATCTGATGATAGTTTCTTTTGCTGTGCAGAAGCTCTTTAGTTTGATTAGATCCCATTTGTCAGTTTTGACTTTTGTTGCCATTGCTTTTAGTGTTTTAGTCATGAAGTCTTTGCCCATGCTTATGTCCTGCATGGTATTGCCTAGATTTTCTTCTAGGGTTTTTATGGGTTTGGGTTTTACATTTAAGTCTTTGAGCCATCTTGAGTTACGTTTTGTGTAAGGTGTGAGGAACGGGTCCAGTTTCTGTTTTCTGCATATGGCTAGCCAGTTTTCTCAGCACCATTTATTAAATAGGGAATCCCTTCCCCATTTCTTGTTTTTGTCAGGTTAGTCAAAGATCAGATGATTGAAGAAATGTGGTGTTATTTCTGAGGTCTCTGTTCTGTTCCATTGGTCTATATATCTGTTTTGGTACCAATATCATGCTGTTCTGGTTACTGTAGCCTTGTAGTATAGTTTGAAGTCAGGTAGTGTGATGCCTTGAGCTTTATTCTTCTTGCTTAGAATTGTCTTGGCTATACAGGCTCCTTTTTGGTTCCATATGAAATTTAAAGTAGTTTTTTCTAATTCTGTGAAGAAAGTCAATGGTAGCTTGATGGAATAGCATTGAATCTATAAATTTCTTTGGGGAGTATGACCATTTTCACGATATTGATTCTTCCTATCCATAAGCATGGAATGTTTTTCCATTTGTTTGTGTCCTCCCTTATTTCCTTGAGCAGTGGTTTGTAGTTCTCCTTGAAAAGGTCCTTTATGTCCCTTGTAAGTTGTATTCCTAGGTGATTTATTCTCTTTCTAGCAATTGTGAATGGGAGTTCACTCATGATTTGGCTCTTTGCTTATCTATTATTGGTGTTTAGGAATGGTTGTGATTTTGCACATTGATTTTGTATACTGAGACTTTGCTGAAGTTGCTTATCAGCTTAAGGAGTTTTGGGCTGAGATTGTGGGATTTTCTAAATATACAATCATGTCATCTGCAAACAGAGACA